TTAGAATTAACTCTCTTCCTTCTCCTCCTCTTCCTCCTTAACTCTCTTCCTCCTTCTCCTCCTCCTCTTCCTTCACCTTTTGCTTTATTTAAGTAGGATATTTACAGCTCCTTCTGACCATCATTCATTCTCTTACCATAGAGCATAGGTTTTCAGTCTTCAATGAACTAAAAACACAGAAAAAAACAAAATCAAAAATAAAAAACCCCAAAAACTGCAACTTTAAATTACTACCATCTCACTTTTCAAAATTCTATATATTTTTCCAAGGTCATATTGGAATTCATGAAAGCAGTGAAATTGTAATCACTGAAAGTGAAGCCCTTAACAAACTCTAAACATTTTCATAGTAAAACTTGTCCTTTTAGAAAAACCACATCAAATGGTTCTTTCTTCTTTCTAGACTGTTTGATTTTTTTTTTTTTGGCAGACAATGTGATTAAGAACAAACAAAAAATAATGAAGTAAGTCATACTTCTAAGATTATGATTTTGCATATTCTCTTGTTTTAAATGAGTAGAAAAAGGAGCAAACTAAACTAATAATAATGGATAGATACCTCATTTATTTGGTTGAAAACTACTTATTATTCTTAAATTTTTTCTCCGCACCATTTCTCTCATAAAGTCAGGTCATTTTGGATGAGGAGTTTTCTTTGTCAAAAAAAAAAAATAGCCACCCTTAAATTTTCATGAATGAAGATAAAAAAAATCAAGGACACAACAATGCCTTCAAGCTATGTGAGTTTATATTAATATTAGTACAAGAGACTGTCCTCTGAATCTAAATATCTATGGCTTTCTTGGATGCTGGATATCTTGAGAGTCACACCCAGGAAAACAGTTTTCCGTGTTTTGTTATTTCCTTTCATTTATTTTATAGAGCCACCATATCCCTGAAACTCAAGTGTAAGGTCTATTAATAAGGATAATTGATACTGTTGGCTACTTTCTTGTTCAGAATAATCAGATGGGAAATATCCACGATAAGGCAAGAAATAATAACCCCTGCTTCCATTGACAAAACTTTCTTCTCTTATGACAGGGTCACATTGTGATTTGTTTTTAATAACCATGTATGTATGGTTGGAAAAATTTTCTACAATAGGGAATAAGCATCTATAGTGTGATGTCTAAGCTATTTAGTATTTTGCCTCTATCTTTCATCAACTACAGCAGTGATGGGATGAATGGCCAAACAAATTCAGATCAGAGACAAAAGGACATTTTCCTCTTCTGTGTATGTGTATTCTCTTAGTTCTATTCAGCTATTTCACTTTTGTGATATTGATGTTCTCCTTAGAATGTCAATAAGATTTCTTGTGGGACTAATGTATACACTGAAACTAATAAAGAAGAAATTGCTGGGTTTGGTGTATATGCCTAAAATTCCAGCAGTCAAGAGGCCGAGGCAGGAGGATTGAGAGGTTGAAGCCATCCCAGCCTGAATCCTGTCTCAAAAACAAAATAAACAAAACAACAAATAAAAAATGGAGAAAATAAACACAAGATTAAAAACTCCTTCTTTAAAAGGATACCATTTAGGGTACCACTCTAGAATCAGAAAATAGCTTGTAATGTACAAATTAATGTTTTCCTAGAAATAGTAATCTCAATTCACATAAATAGTATCTGAAAAGTTAATGACTATTCTAGGATAAACAAAGCATACTTAGAGTTTAGGAATTGGCTCTTAGTTAATATTTCCTCTTGTTATAAAATATGTATTAACAATGAAATATGGCAGAAACAAGCATCTACATATTTAAGATTAAGTTGATAGAGTCCAAATACATATGATAAGAGGAAAATAATAATCACAAAATGGTTGACTGAACAATCAGATTCTTAGCTATAGAAATATAATAAGTTCAGATCTCATTACGTCTTAGATTTCATAGACTTCATCTAAACTTAGATCAGCTGGTAACACAACATACAAAGGTCTTCTCTGCCCGTCGAAGACCAAAGGGATGGGATACAAATTAAATAATCAACGATTTGAGCACCAGAATAAAGACTAAGATGCTCAGAAGCAGCAAGTTGAGGTTACACTAAAGAACCAAATGGACTTTGAATCCATAATGTATCATTCAGAGCTCAGGCGGTGATTGATGAAAAACAGGCAATACCAAATATCACACGTGTCCAAGTCTGGAAGTCCATTCTTTCCCCCAGCTTGGCTAACACATTCACATTTTCAAATGTGTTTTTATAGCTAGAATAATCTTATCCCCCAGAACCCCAAATAAACAGAAAGAGAAGGATGAAACCTAAGCACTAGGGAAAAATACATGTTTTTTTTTCTTCATTTTATTGAGTTCTTACAGAACTTCTGTTACACATAGAACACGTGAACCCATGAGTTCCCGTCTCTGGTTCTCATGTGAAGCTGATAGAGGATAGACACTTGAGAGGAATGTTTCTAAAGCTATAGATAGCTTCCTTTGCATTTATTTCATTTTTAAATATAACAAAGCATTGGAGGAAAAAAAAAGGTTCTTACGTTGTGAGAGTATCAAATATTACCCATCAATCCCTGAATCATGCTATTCAAAGTGCTTAAATCTACACTAAAAATAAAACAAAAAAATGTACTCCCAATGCAGCTAAATTAACACCTATGGATGCCTAAAATATGACTGTGGTCTGATTACTTCCTCTACATTTATTCCACACACCCATCGTGCACTTAAAAAATTAAAAATAAAAAACAAACAAAGAAATAAATCAGGCCATTGCCACATTTACACTCTTCTGAGTACTGGGGGAGTTTGGAATCCAGTCCAATGACAAGTGTCCATAGTACAAAGTAAACAATGGCCTTCTTCGTTTCTGAAAATAACCCAGTGTTGCAAAGCTGACCTTAAAGTTTTATGTGTCCTTGAAGCTTCAGTTCTGGCTTTTGAAAATGTGACACAGAACCAAGGGGAGCACAAGAATAAAGACATACTGTAGAGAAGACCCAGGCAAGTTGTCAGGGAAGTCAACATTTTTAAGCAAATAAAAATCAATGCATATCCCAAGGCTCCTTTGCCTTGTCACACAGATACTGAGACCTTCGCATTGTTACAAAATGTTTGTACTTGTCTCTCCTATGTTCATAGTTCTAGCTTGCCCTCCCCAGTGAACTCTATTGCAATTTTTACTTTTATGTCTATGTGACCCACTCACACCTTAGCCTTGTGACCCAATCTCTAGAATTGTTTTCTCCTTATATGGTGTGGCAGGTTTAAGCGAACACAGGGTAGTTACTACATGAACCCACAGATGATGACTGAGCAGGAATTTCTCATGATGAATCACTAAAGTAAGTTCTATAACGCTTAAGGTCTATTATCAGTGGTTTTGTCACATTAATTTTTTTAAGAAAACTAAAATCTACGTAGATAACATAGTCCTTTTAATAATTCTGCCTTCTGCAAGATCTTTCATGATTGATTTAGCATCATAGTTAACATGACAAAGAATTAGCTGCTTATGTGATTGATTTCCAACATAAAGCTAGATAGTAAGTAACAAATTTCCTGGGAGCATCAACTTTCTGTTTCTGAAAGATAGAATCATATAGTTAAAATTAAATTAATTTCTATACAAAATTAAGTACTTTAAGTATTTTCTGATCTAATTTAAAACTATTTTGTGTAAATAATGTTTATTTTGAAAGTAGTAGTTTGTGTTGTTATTCATACATTTGACCTCCTGAGATATTATTTAAACAACCTTGATATTAATAAATGCTGCTTATGTTCATAAACTGAAACCACTTAAGTTCTGAATGTAGCATTGAAAAGTAAATACAAGTCAGTTAACATTTAAGTACAAGGGGACCCCACAATAATTTTCACAGATTTTTTTTTCTGACTCTTTAGAAGATAACATTTTGTATAATACAAGGTAACAAAACATATTTGATGACACATCCTGTTCTTCCCTTTGGTTTGGAAGCTTTCAATGTAAGTTTCATTTTTACTTGCCTTGATTCACCTATCTGAGTTAACTTGCCTGGTATTTGCACATAATCTCATTTGCAGAAAAATTAATTATAGAGGGAAAAGAGGAAGTAGATTATCAAACAAAAACAGCCACAAACACATTCATGCCTTTCCAGGAAGTGATCAAATATAGGGCTTTTTTTTTTTTGGTTTTGTATTTTTGTGTGTTTTTTTCTTTGTTTTGTTTGTTTTGCTGTTTTATATATTTATATTTATATTTATATATATATATATATAAGGGTACATCAACTCATTTTTAAAAAACGGAAACAACACTCTCCCCGTTTTCATGCCCTCGATTTTCATTCTGTAGTGAGCACTCTGTAGTGGTCACTGTTGAATGACTAGCACAACTTTGGGTCTAGAGTGTATTCTGAAGAGCAGTGAATTCAATGTTAAGACAGTTAGACCTACCCCTACCCCCTGCAGAGTTTACACATCATGCTGCCATTAGAAGGGTAGAGGTGGGGAATGAGGTGGGGACATGGAAGAGATTTCAGAGCTCTGACTGGTAGGGCCCTCCTAGGAACAGATCTTCTTCTCTCTTTCTCTCTCTTTTGTTCCCAAACGGCAATGCAAGGCTGGCGTTCAGTCACACTGCTTTCTGAAGGCCCATATCACCAAGCTGGTCCTAGGAAGAACCTGAGAGAGAATCCGGTGCTCCTTGTCCCATCAGATAGATTTGTCCAAGCACCCCAAGGAAATGTTAAAAGCAAAAGAAAATTTAAAAAGAAAATTAAAATCCCATTCTAAAACTAAATTAGTGAAGCAAAAAAGGGAGGGGAAGTTTCTATCTATACATCAGTCTCTTCTTTAAAAAAAATGTAAATTTACAAATTCAATGACATATAAAACAAAGTCAAAAAAAAGTAATGGTAAGAGACATGGTAAAACATGAAGACACTGATGCTACAAAGAAATTCCAAAAAATATATGTACAAGACCCTGTTTTTCCTCGTGTTCTAGAGATTGTAATGCATGTTTTTAACAGCAGCAGTCGAGGATTGAGTTCCAGGCACTGGACTGCAGATTCCTTTCAAACTCCCAGGAACGGGATGTCCTTTGCTTTTCTGTCACCAAATCACACTGGATATACTGGTCTCCCTTGGCAACAACGGCAGGATGGCACTGTTTGTGTGGGCTTCATCTGGATTCGGCTCCCTGCTCGACTTTGTCTGTGGCCGCTGCCCATTGATGAGTGTCATAGGGATGTTACAGTAGGTATGCTGATTTCCTATGGAGGTAAGTGGCAGGGTGCCCGTAGGAGGTACGTCGTACTCATAGCTTCGATAGTAGTGTTTCTGACGCATTTGTGAATGGTAGGTGTTGTGAAAGGTAGAACGGAGATCTGGATGGGCAGTGGCTAGAGCTGTGGAGGTGGCAGCAGCCATTGAAATGGCCGAGACAGTCTGCAGCTCCCCGAAAGGCCCCTGCTCACTGACGTCTAAAGCCTGCTCATGTGTAATGGGTTCTATCCTCTTAAAAGGCATTTCGTACTGTAAACGTTTCCAGAACTTCGAGTTCAACTTGTTGCATTTTGGTCCATGCCATTTAATAACCGTCAGGAGCTTGATGGTATGCTTGAGGGCCTCCACCTCCTGGTAGTTCATAATTCCTCGGAGTTCGCTGCATTCGATCAGTATCACTTTGATTTCTCCAGTCACAAGCATGTTTCGAAGTCTCGTTTCCAGCTCAAAGATGCTCCAGCCCCTTCGAACTACATAATTTGGGGTCATGACAATAATCAGCCGTTTACTTTGATCTACACATCTAGCCACATCTTCAATGTATGCTATAAAGAAAAAAAAAAGATGGATCAAGATAAGTGAACTATAAGAGCTCCAAAAGTCTCTGTTATTTTCTATCACATAGTAGGTAAGAATTGATTGTTGGTTAACACATTGTGAAGATGAAACAATGAATTAGCACTTTGGATGGAGTTTTGGCCTCCATTCTAGAAATATCAGAGATATTTTTTCTAGATGGAAGTATCTCATTTGATTTAAATTAATATTAAGGATCATAAAATATAATGATTTTTAGAATATAGAAATATAGAAAAATAAAGTATCTTCTGGTATATAAAAATTAAATTTCATCAAAAAATATTTCTTGTGACATTAAAATGCTATTTATGTGACTGCACAGACATACCGAATTGCAGCACACACACATATACACACAAATACACACACATACAAGAGAAAACTTTAACTTACTTCCAGTTGGGATCAAATCTCTATCTGGTATAAACAACTTATATCCATAATGCTTTTCAAGCATATCAGGGAGGATTTCAAGGGCAAAACGTTCTTCTTCCCCAGTCTCTTGATTCCACTGGTCAGGATCCACTTTGGTATATGACAGATAGGCATCATAATCTTTGTTATCTGTCAAAAAAATTGCAAAGTAAGTTCTAGAATGGAAGCAATAAAATATTAACAATATTCACTTTTATTGAAAAACTATTTCAAATGTTCCAATCCAAAAGGAAGGCTGTATTAATTTTTATCATGTGTTCAACAGCACCAACAATTCTGGCAGAAGCTTGGAGATACGAAGTGATTCTTTTGTTGTGAAAAAAAATAGTAGGAAAACAATTCAATGGGAAGAGTCATGAAGGAGTAAGGGCATTCATAAACTAGGGGCATTGCCATCAGGTTCAATTTCTGGCATTATCAAAAAACAAACAAACAAACAAACAAATATAATGAAATTCCAATTTTCATAAATTTTTAAACCCACATAATAAGAAGTCTTGAGAGAAGTTTAGAAAAAGCTACATGTTTTTAGATAATAGTATGTTATTAATGTATATATTGCATTTAACAACCCAGTCCTTGGATTTTTTGAAAGAGGGCTATGATCATTTAATTTCAACTTTGATTTATAAAATGATTAAAAGTGTAGAAAATGAGTAAACATAAGATAGGGCTTAAGAGAGCCTGTTTCTCATCACATGTAGCTTGCATTAAATTTCATTAGCTGTATTATAGTTGCCTTTATCTCTGGAAGGATGAATGCATTGCTTTTCAGCTATCTTTACAATAGGTTTTCTCAATAGGCTGTATGGTGCTTTTCAGCTGGACTCAAGCATGTTACTTAGACATTCTATAGAAAACAGTGAAATACACATGGCAGTGTGATAAAAGTGCTTATGTTTCAAAACAAACACAGTTCATAACTGAAAAAAAAAAAGAGAGCCTGTTTCTTATTCTACAGTTCCAGTCACCAACTATATTTCTGCCCACTAAAGAGATGGAAAACAGCTGATAGGAATTCTAATATTCATCATAATCTCAAGTATAGTCATTAAATTACTCTTTGCATGTTTTCATGGGATTCTCAATATCACGTATCACCAATAAAATGCAAACAAAATAAGAAACTTAACATTTAATCAGTTTAAAAAAAACAGATTCAACAGGTTTTTCCTTTTTATAGTGACTGAAGTAGCTATTGTATTTACTGTTTCATAAAATTACTTTTTACAGTAAAAAGAGAGTTTATATTCTATAAAGTTAAGAAATAAAAATAATGGACTGGAGAGCTGGCTCAGCAATTAAGGGCACTGACTGCTCTTCCAGAGATCTTGAGTTCAATTCCCAGCAACCACATGGTGGCTCTCAACCACCCGTAATGAGATCTGATGCCCTCTTCTCGTGTGTTTGAAGACAGTGGCAGTCTATTCACATACATAAAATAAATAAATCTTTAAAAAAAGAAATAAAAATATTAAATGAAAATATTATTAAGAAGTTTTGCTGTGTTCAGCCCCAATTAGTAAATCTACAACATAAACTGTATACCCAAGGCTCAGGGAATATTACAAAAGAGGGGACTGAAAGATTCTAAGAGTCAGAAGACCAGGATACCTGATACAAGATTGTTTCCAGTAGTTATTAACAGAGATGTTTTCCCCATGAGTGGTCAACAATAAGATTGCATAGTGACTTACATAGTGACTTACAACAAGACTTACATAGTGACTAGAAAAACAAAACAAAACAGGACAATACTGTGGGAGAATTTCACAAGACTCTACCCTTACATGAAGACTATAGGGAATCAATGGCTGCTAAGAGAGGGATGACATGTTTTTTTCTAGAGATGAGGCCACTGATAGGTTATGCAATCCAAAGTGGTCAATCTTAAACACATGTATATATGAGCAACAGTAAATTAATTAAGTTGTATGTGTGTGTGTGTGTGTGTGTGTGTGTGTGTTTGTAGATAATAAAGAACAAAGCCTTGAATTTGAGGAGTGGGAGCCATGAAATCATTTGGAAGGTGGAAAGTGAGAGGTAGAAATGATGCCAATAAATTACTCTTGCAGCAATTCTGAAAGAAAACAAAATAAAATATATTGGATGCAATGATGTGTATCTACAGTCTAAGCTATTTGGATGGCTGAAGAAGATAATTAGAGGTCAAGAGTTCAAAACCAACCTAAACATAACAGTGGCAATGAGTACTGTCTCAAGAAACAAAATCAATTCAAACCAAACCAGAGAGCCAACATTAAATAACATTAAGTAATCTTCATGAGAGAAAGAAAAACTGAAAACATTTCAAAAATGAACCTGATAAATAAATGCATCCTTTTCTTTAACAGACAAGAAGCTGAGCAACTCATGTATTGACATTTTAGAAAAACACATCTTTGACCCCTCTCTTTTCTAGATGAACATAGTATATTGAATCTGTCTAGGAAAGAGGTATACTGACAAGGGAAATGGTTTGCTATTGAGAGCTGGATCTTTAATATCTATTGAGTAGTTGTCAGATGTTGTTGGCAGCTGCCTTTTTTATTGCTCCCAAATATTTATAAGTAACATAAATGAAAGTGACAGAGTCCATTATTCACAAAATGAGTTACTAAAATAAAACTAGGAGAGGCAAAGATGTACGTTTAGGAATAAGATAACTCAGAAAACTGATAATTAGAAGTTGTCACTGATATAATTTGGGCCACATTTCTCTCTTAGGTCTCACAAAATGTTTTACATTCCTATGCAACCTCAGATTTCTAAGATGTACTTTTTCATGTTAAAAATATTGTAGAACTTTATAAATAATAAAGGAATGCATATACATTAAAATTATGAACTTATAATCTTAGTATTTTGACCTTTGTGCTTTATTGAATAGCTGTGTAATGTTTTTTTCAATTTTTGTTGATATTTAAGTTTAAACCAAGAAGCTTGGACATGCTAGGCAAATTCTGTACCTAAATTTAACTTGCTTTTAATTTCAATTCTGCTATGGTAGTCTGTGTAAAATATATTCTGAAATAAAGCAGCTTGAATCAAGCAATTAGACATTTTATAACATTGGTCTAGTTTACATGTTTACCATTTAATATTTTTCCAGACTGTTTCACCTATACATTCTTAAATATTTAAATGGAACACTAAATTACATAGGTTTTGAGACAGGGCCCTTATGTATATTCTAGGCTGGCCTCAACCTTAACCTACTGAATGCTAAGATTACAAGCATACAACATGTGGCAATAATTAAGACATGGTCCTGATTGCATGGCTCAGAGGTTGAACGCACTTTCTCTGCAAATGTGAGGACATGAGTTTGAATTCCCAGGAGCTACATACAATCCAAACACAGTAGCAGCAACATCTAAAATCTGAAGCTTCCTCTGATGTGATGGGAAGCTGAGACATGAGACTCCTGGAAACTCCCAGGCCAGCTAGACTTCATATGCCAGGGAGAAAAACAACAAAGTTACCCCACCTCAAACAGTAGAAAGAAAGGACCACTATATGAGGCTGTCTTGACCTCCAAATGTGTTCATGGCGTGTGTGTACCTGAATTTACATTCACACATGCACAAAGGTAAATTAAAAGGTAAAAATACAATATTTGTGGTGTTGATATTTTATGATGAGAACAACAGCAGATGAGCTGAACTTCTGACTTTAATAAATTGTGAGTCATGTAGGATTTTAATTTCTGATCTATGCAGAAGTACCTTGGAGGCTAAGACATTTCTCAATGGTAGGGCACTTGTCTAGTAGTATATACAAAGCCATAGATTTGATCCCTAGAATGGATAAAACGTGAGATCAAAACAACTTCTTGAAGCTATTTAGTAGTAAATGTATCCTAAATATATAGCAAACTGGCACTAGAGTCACATATTAAAGTCCTTTCTCTGCAGACTTAAGAAGGTACTAGCTAGCATAGTTGTTAGAAGTCTTAAGAGGTATTGTAGTGTGGCTTTTTACTTGGGGTACATCATCTGGAATTTTGGAGTAGTGATCACTTTGGATAGTTAGTCATGGCAACAAAATAAGGAAACCAGTACAGAGATATCTAGGTCTACAGAATGGCAATGGAGCTTTTGTCACTCCCTAGTTAGAAGAAGGTAGGGGAGAATCATAGAACACTCACCTGGGAATGCAACTATTATTATTTCCTGCCCTCACTTCCCACCAAATGCAAGTGATTATGGGAGATGCTAGGGGTTTTTTGTTGTTTGTTTGTCTGTTTTTTTATGTTTCTGTTTTTATGGCTATTGGTGGTGGTGGTGGTGATATGTGTGTGCATGTGTCTAAGAACAGAAAGGTTAACAGAAAGTAGAACTCTATGATGCAGCTTTCATCAGGCTATTATCCAAGAAAGAGGGGAATTTTTTTTTGCGGGTAACCTACACTTCTGTGGGAAACCCCTCAGCCATGCTCTCTAAGTCAGCCCTCTGAAAATTCATTGATTGACCAAGTTGGATTTGGATGGAATTGTTACGTTTATCTGTCTGCAGTGACCTATGTTGTGTGAATAGATATTTACTCCTATCTCCTCAGGAAGAGTTAATGCAGCAAGAGGGGAAGAGATAGCAGACTAGTACCAGGGAACACTGGATGTGATGACTTTGAATAGATCATATGCCCAAAATAACATTTTGTTTCTCCTTTGGGAATTCAAAAACTGTATGCAATTTCACTAATCACCACTAACCAAAAAAAAAAAAAAATCATAAAAAAAGGCCAGCACCACAGATTTTTCTTACATGATATGTAGAGATACAGTATTTCATTCACTGTGTAGATGAAGACAGTATTCCTGAATCTACAAATAAGAACTTGTAGTTGAATAAGAAAAAAAACTAAGGATATGCATAATCTAAGACTGCATAGATGCTAATTGGTTGTATATATTCAACAAGGAATAAGGGCTCATTTTTTAAAGATGGAGTAGAGATTTTAAAAGATTGTTTTAACTTATTTGTCTAATGTTGATAATAATACTAAGCATTGAATTAGATCCCTGTCTTTATTTTTGAAATATGAATTTTGTTGGTCATTATGTTTGTAAAACTTGCATCATTATGATTAGGAGCAACCATAACCTGTATAATCCAAAGGCAGAGAAA